CACTGACTTCAATGTCAGAATACTGACTTCAATGTAAAGGCCATGAGAAGAGTTGGGTGTGGCCTTTTATAGCAGACTTTGAGGCAGGTGAGAGCAACTGAGGATTGACTAGTGGTTAGGGAGGCCACTAGAGGTGAGAAACAGGTATTGCAGTAATAAAATAAAACAATATCTTGGTTGTCAGGATAGGATCCTAACAATATACTTGGGAGGAACCATATCATTAAGAAATGAGTGTAGGGTTGATTCATGTCAGTATACATGCAATAACATTTTCAGTGGAACACAATACACTTATATAGATGAAAGTGTAGGAACCTTGGAGTGTTTCGGTGTGCAAGTGCTGTCAATGAGACAATCTGCACAAGTTGAAACAAATGGGTTTGGACTTTTGAAGGTCAACATTCTTTTGGAGACAAAATACTAATCGATTACGGTGCATAGTAAAAGTGTTTCTCCTTTTCCACAGGAATGATGCCACCCTAGAAAAGTTTTGAAGTCAGAGGTGTGATTATAATGAAGGACAGCTGCAGATCTTCCACAGAGCAGTTTATTAGTGAGGATCAGTAGATAGGGGCATTTTTGTGAAAATTATTTGTTAGCAAGGAATATAATTTTAAATTGAACCCTAAATCTTATGGGAAGCCAATGTAAGGTGTGACAGATGGGTGATGTGTGGCAGGTGTGAAAGGACAGAAAGAAAGATGTATTTAGTATTGTATAAACACTAAACATAAATTTAGTATGGAGTATAGCTACTGAGACCTTTACAAAATAGATCACTACAAAGACCACAGCAAGATATTTATGAATACCGCTTTGAAAAAATACCTGATCATTCAGTATAAACATGGTTCTACAGCTCTATTTTTCATACCAGCATTTTATTTTAAATCTGCATTCGTAGATTTGATAGATTTATTATTCCATAAATGTCCTTTCAAACGGAATATCACCAAACACAGTAATAAAATCAAGTTTCAAATGAATACAGGCATGTCAGGATTAATCTGAATTCATTTTTTCATTACACAAATTGGAGAACATGTAAATGTGTATTTAACATCGCAACGTTCTACCAGACAAGGCGATGCCAGTAACAACGCAATATTTTGTTAAATTTCCAATATAAATAAGAATTTGATTTTCTATTTGACATAAACTTAGCAATGCAATTTACAGTTCAGACATTTCAGAATTTATTTTGTGGCATACATACTATTTTTTTTTTGTGGGATAGGCAGTTTGTATGAACATTTTTAATCAATGTCAAATTTTCCAGTGTGTTTCTTCAATCGATTCTGAAAGAATAGCTGATCTAAAGTATATGTAATGCATTATAATGTAAATTTAAAATCATCATATTATGGCAGACATTTAAACAGCTGTAGAGGGTGATATATACATTAGCGTGATTCATGGTCCTTGACAGAAATGCCTTTTAATCCCACAGGAGTATAAAATCCAAAATTCCACACATGTTCAAATTTTAGTGCCTGCAGCAAAAAGAAGGGAACAGCTCAAAACAGTTGAAATCTTTTAACTTTAAAAGCAATATGGATGTACCCCAGAGAGGTAATCTAAATTATAATGTATAAAAAAAATCTGAGTGAGGAATCAGGGAGATTAATATGGTTTCATTTGATTATGGTGATAATGCCAACAATTAATACTTTCATTGTGAAATATATATTTATTTTCTGTCAAATCTGACCCATATATTTGCAAATCTCCAGATTAAATATATCGGAAGGGATCCTCTTACTTTTTTCCACCTCGGTCTTGATCAAGACAAATTCTCTAGAATATACGCATTATTAGTAGGATTCAGTGACCTGAAGCGACAGAACCATATTTAATACACAGCAGCCCTGTAGTCAATGGAAGAGTATAGCGTGCTTTGAGAACAGATACATGTTCATGATAAATTATGCTGTGGACTTAAAATATTTAATATTGCAGGTGCACCAAAACGACAATCTGTGTTTTTAGAGTGGAAGCAAGAAGCTAATCATTTAATGCTTTCCACAGCAGAAGGGTGCTCCACAAATAGTGATTTGCACCCATTAGTTAAAGAATGTACTAAAAATAATGTTTACATTTTTAAACAAATAGTCAATTCTAAAAATTAACCTTCCAGCAGATAATGGAATGGAGTGGGACCATAGAACTTTTGACCCTTGATAACTTTTTAATAGGTGCCTCACCATGGGGGCATGGTTGACCTGTGCCAGGTCCCCCTTTAATGGATTTTGGGGTTTGCATGATGCAACCACAGCACAGATTTGAACTTCATTCTCCGAATTAAATTACAAAGTGAAAATAATTTCCAAATTTCATCTTAAAACAAATGGAAAACCGCTTGACATTCTGTTCAGTCGTAATTCGGTCATTTGGCCGGCGCTATAGTCTAAATGACAGGAGGTTCGTAAATGGCAAATGAGGAAATGAGAGAACACGGAGGAGGGTGAGTACTGTGGGAAAACTTTCTTTGACACAGGAAATAGAGCTGACTTAAGCTCCTCCTTATGTCAAAGAAAGTCAAGCGTAGGAAACATTCATAAGACAAAGTAGTCCCTACTTTGTCTTATGTTTTAAAGAAAATTAGATCAGAAATAAAGAAAATAAGAACAAATTCTGAGAGAGGAAGAGAAGAGGAAGCGATTGGGAAACGGTTAGTTCAGTGGGACGGTGCTGCTTTAAATTCCTAACCCTTACAAACACATGTAGCAAGGCCAGAGTAAGGACCCTCCATAGGTTCATCCCTGTTTTATAGTGTTTCATTTGGGTACAATAGTAGGGCACAATGTGAATGTATAAGGCAAGAGAGTGGAGAAACCAAACACCTTGATTGGTTTTAATACAAGCCCTGGAACTCCCAAAACTGGGGTTTAAGCTGCTGCTTGTAGCATATTGGTATCCTATCTGTTATCACAAATTCCTTCTGTCTAGCTCTTTGATAAACAGACGAGGAATTTCATAGTTGAGATAAGTTTTGTCAGTAATACTCTTTTTTTTATGATTGCAGGTTGTTATGCAGGAGTGAAATAATTGACCTCTGAGAGAAATGCTAGTGGACTTAAAACAAATCATTTTTTTTCAGCATTAAATCAGTTTCCTAATTGGGAATATATTATCATCAACCAAGGAAGACAAAAAGAGTGAAAAATTGTACATCCATCCAATATAATTTCACATGCTATATAATCACCATATAGAATTTCTCCTAGGCCATATTCACACATGCTATGGTATGTTTCCATCTTCTTCATTCTTAATTATTTCTTCATTTAATTAGTTATCCCTGTTAAGCTTGTACACTGTTATTCTAGAAATGTCTATCACAGTTCAGTTTTTCATTCCTGTGTCACCTTCAGAAAGTGATGTTTTAGGCAAGCTGCATATTGTCCTTTAGCATTTCTTCAGTAACCAGTGGCCTGAATACATGCTATAAATAAAAATTAAGAGTTTTCATTCATCCTTGTTTCTGTTTGGAAAATATACGTGGATGTGGTTGTTAAAGCACCGGGATTGAATTTCTGTGTCGTATGTAAGATAATGGTAGTCTGTCCATTTCAGGGTTTCTTATGACCAATATGTTTTCAAAAAAGCATATAACCTGATGCAATTATATAATCAATAAACTCAGACAAGTTGGCACCACTGGTCCAAGATTCTCCTAATGTGGAACAGTCTTACTGGTCGTCTCACCTATTCACCAGGATGATGAATGCAGGACATAGGTCAGATCTATTTGATTGTATAAAGTGTCTGACATCTAATTACATTGTGTCACTTGAAGTACTGATAACTCAAACAGTTAATACACTCAATATCAAAGGAAACATATATATATACACATTTTTATGCCTCAATGAACATTACTGTTTTGTATGTTATAAGTATAAGCAAGACAATGCAGCTACATAATGGCTCATACTATCTAACCAGGGCATTCCCTTGCAGTTTCTGGTCATTGTTCCTTCCTAATAAATAGTATTTTAAAGGGCTTAAAGTATTATCTTTGCAGTAAGATAATGTTGTTTGGCCTTTATGTTTCAATGTCACCATAACAATATATTTTAGGAATTACATTGTTTTAACAATATAGGTTAGTCCAGTGTCCAGTCGTTGGAAGTGGTATTTTAGTAGGTCCCATTTATTAAAAGGTTAAAACACAAATATAGGAGAGGATGTTCAATAATCCAAAACAGTGCCAGAACTACTGCTTAAGTGCATGGGCCAAAGATGGGCATTGTTTAACAGGGGCACGGTCAGGTGCCACGGGCCTTTAAGCCCGCGACCAGGCCCCTGTACCATCGGCCGGTTGGGAGGAAGTGAAATCAGATCACTTCCTCTCAGCTTTATACAGCTCACTGAGTGGAAGGAAGGGGGTGCGGCACAGGCTGCACTAAGAAGAAGAGAGGCAGGAGTGAGCTGCTCCCACTCTCTCCTATCGGACTCAGCCAAGCAAGCCACCCTCCTGGACACAAAAAGTAAGCTAACAGGAGGGTGAAATTGAAGTGCAAGGAGATTGTGGTTAAACAATGACTAAAAAAATTGATGTATGGAAATCCAAGTAAGGATAGCAAATTAAGTACTTATCTACTAAACAGCTGAAAGATCAGAATTTTAATTCAGCTTTTTTTTCAATTCACAGATTGAGCATTGCCTTGTAAATACAACATAAGGAAGTTGTTATACATAGGTTATACATAGGTTAGAACAAGCAATATACTAGGAACATAAATAAAAGCTGATGACTGACCATGAACTGAGTTTTGCGAATTATATATCAGGGGTTGAATTGTAAAGTGTAACTTCATACATCCTATTCTGCCCAGGGCCGGCACGTCCATAAGGCGGCACAAGCAGCCGCCTTAGGGCACACCGGCCTGGGGGAGCTAGATTGGAGTGACCGGCAGGAGGTGGGCACACAGCGATCCCCCCTGCAAGTCACTCAATGTAGGCAGTGCGGACCGCGGTAAAGGAACTTCTGATTCCAGTACCCGACTGGACTGAAAGGAAGTGCTCACTGAGAGAGCGCTTCCTGTCAGTCCGGCCGGGAACAGGAAACTGAAGCTCCTGTACCGCGGTCCTCGACGCCTGGCCACACTACAAGAAAGGTAGGAGACACACCGGGGAGGAGAGAGAGAGGGACACTAGAGGGGGGTAAGCTACAAGGGGGAGAAGGAAAACTATGGGAGAGGGGAAGGAATACTATGGGGGGAGAAGGAAAACTATGGGACATGGGAGGGGGAAATAATGCTATGGGACAGGGGAGAGGGGGAAGAATACTAAAAAAGAGGGAGGTTTGATGAACACTCGGGGGGGGGAGAAACATTAAGGGATGGGCACTAAGGTACAGGGGAGGGGAAAAAGGGAAAGTGAATACTGGGGTAGTGGGGGGACCACTAAAAGAGAAGGGCAAGGGTCACTAAGATGGGGGTAGGAGGAACATTAAGGGGAATGGGGGGCACTAAGAGACAGGTAAGGGGGAGGGAAGAGGAACACTAAGGGACAGGGGAGGGAGGGGAGAGTAACACTAAGGGACAGGGGAGGGTAGAGGAACACTAAGGGACAGGGGAGGGAGGGGAGAGGAACACTAAAGGACATTGAAGGGAGGGGAGAGTAACACTAAGGGACAGGGAGGGGAGGAGAGAGGAACACTAAGGGACAGGGGAGGGTGGGGGGAGGAACACTAAGGGACATGGAGGGGAGAGGACCATTAAGGGGCAGGGAGGGGAGAGGACCACTAATGGACATGGAGGAGAGGAGAAATTAACATTAAGGAACATGGAGGGGAGAGTGGCATGGCACACAGGGGAGCCTGAGTGGGGTGAAAGACACACAGAGGAACATGAGATGGGAGAAAACCTGGGGGTGAGAAAGTCCACAGAGGGGCTGGGGATGAAAGCACCACACCGAAGGGCCTGTGCATGGAAATACAAAGAGGCTGGGGAGAAAGAGACACAGAGGGGCTGCAGAAGAGGACAAAGAGACACAGAGGGGCTGGTGGGAGATAGACGGGCTGGTGGTGAAAGAGAAACACACAAAGGAGCTGGTAAGAGTAAAAGACATAAAGGGTCTGGGAAAGAAGGAGACACGGAGGCTAGGGGGAGTAAGAAACACAAAGAGGGGTAGTAAGAGATACACAAGGGAGGTGTAAGACACACAATGGGGAAATAGGGTATGACACTAAAAGGGGGAAGATTTAAAAAAGGGGATAAGAAACAAAAGGGCGGGTTAATAGGCACACAGGTGAAGATGCTTTTGGGAGGGGAGCTCCAAAATCATCTTCGCTTGTGTACACAAAAATCCTTGCACCGGCCCTGATTCCGCCTCATGAGATAGCTATTAAAAAGGGATTTTTTGACATTTTTATATTTTAGCAGTTTTGCAGATAACTCCCTAAAATGCTTTTTTGTTACTATGTGATTGTAACTTTTACTCATTCCCCCATAGGGTGTAATGGAAGTCCAAATTTCTCGAATTAACAAAATTTTATCGAACAAAGTTTCTTTCGTCAGACTCAAAATATTTCATATTTTGACAAACAGAAATTAGAAAAAAAAGACAAATCGAAAGGAAATTAAACAAATGTATGCCCTGTGCACATCCCTAATGGAAACCTATAATTTATTGGTTAAAAAGATAAAGACTAACTAAATAACAGTGCATGCACCCTTACTATTTCATGTTTAGAAAATGGAGCAAAAACACTACTATCTTAAAATACATGCAGCATTTACTATATTGAATGTGATTATATTAAATCTGATTATCACTATTTTCAGTTTGGAATAATGAAAAATAGTGCAATAATGTATTTGTGCTTTTATGTTTGTTTTTGTTTTGTTGGTTTTTTTTTTGGTTTTTTTTTAGGGGGGGCATTAAATTAATGACAATCATCTGACAGTTAGAGGATGTTTGAGAATGAATGTAAAATAATGTTGATTAATTGATTTTGTTGTTTTTTTATTGCATTTCCAGAAGTCAATTAGGCAGACAAACCTTTTAATATACACATTGTTTTTTTGCTATTTCTGGCATGTGTTGTATCATTCCAGTATAGTTAATTAGTTACACAGATCACACTTGTTTTCCAGATTATGCAGTTTGGATTGTCTAGTATAAAGACAATATTCCATAAACTATCATGTTAAGGATCAGATTATGAATAGGCATGTCAAAAGGGAGCTGTACTGAAAGTCAAAACGGGCCATTTGGTTTAATTCTTCAATCACAATCTTGCATTCTTCAATTCAACTATATTTCTATGTCACATAACACATAACATATTTGAGGAGTAATATTCCATGATTCAAGAGCCCACAACACACTGAATAAATTATATTAAGACATACATATCTAATTATCATATTAAGAATTAATATCTCATAATTGATAGAAAGTGAAGTCAATAACTATCTCTTAACAGTACATATTATTTCACTACCTTCCTCTGCCTCTAGAGGGCTTTGCATTCTGGTTATACCAAGTCACTGCCAGAACTGTGAAAAGAAGCCCATGTTCCTCCTCATAATTGCACCGTATGTTCAGTTAGTGCATAGACTGCTTTTGTTTTTGTTTTGGGTTTTTTGGGGTGGGGAGAAGGGGTTGTAAAGGACAATATCTATTTTTGAGATATAAATAATACTCAAACTATTTGTTTTCCATTCACATTAATGTAAAAATGAAAGAAAAATTGGTTTAGATAAAACAAATATAGCTAAAAGGGAACTGCCACTTCTCATGATTTTTTATAATATGTTTACTCATCCCTATACATAATAAATATGTATCTGTACGATATGAAAAGAAAATCAAATGTAGGAATCCAGACCTCTTCATCCTGCACCTGAGCAACTCCATATTGGCTCCCTGTCAATCACTATTATAAAGTCTGTTAACAATATAGATAAAGTACATAGAGAAGAGAAGAAATGAAACAATATTTCTGATTATTCTACTCATTCACAGTGTTTGCTCTGGTTCTGCCTTGTCTGAACTGGATTGCAATGTCACTTGCTAAATCGTTACTATGTAAAAGAATAGAGAGTCAGATGGAAAAGGTTATAGGTAAATTTTATTCAGTGGCGTAATATGACAGTTCAAAGAGACATTGAATAATACGAACATCTATGCTACTAAAACATCTTGTTGTTATTGATTAAAAAAAATTATTTTAGAAGAGCTTTCCATTGTAGTGGTTATGGTACTAGGAAGCTGTCTCTGCATTTTGACCTATTAAACCCTCACCCTTTGTTACATTCAGGTAATCATCCCCTCCCTATTCAGTAAACCAAGATCTTGTATAGTGCAAGTGCACACAGCCTGCTCATGCTATGTATGTCAGCCTTATTCGCCTTATGAACTGTACTATGAGCCTGGCAGATAATGGCGCAGTGTGCAATGTTTAATCACACATAGCACAGCTCCTGCAAGAACAGGAGGAAATAAAAGTAACAATGTTCTCTAAGACAAAACTGCAGTCTTTTCATTCTGGTTAATAAAGTCAATAAGAGTACGTCACTTTTGCTTTAGCAACGCCCCTTCAATTGTTAAAGCGGCACTGTCATGCCGAACTTACCTTTCCTCAATCTCTTCCTCTTCTCCCCCTCGCTCAGGATCTGTTATTCTTTCTTCCTGTCTTCTTTAGTTTTCTTTAAAATCATAAGACAAAGTAGGGACTCTTTGCCTTATGGAGGATTCCTCCGCTTGACCAGCTCTGACCAGCGGAGGAGCAAAGTGTGCTTCATTTCAGCTGGTCAGAGCAATTTTCCCATGATCCCTAGCTTTCCTCTGTGATCTCGCGATGCTTCCTGTCATTTTAGCTAAAACTGCCGAATTGCGTTCTAACTGAATGAGAACAGTATGTTCGTTTCTTTTAGAACGCAATTCGGCACTTTGTTTGTGTCGGAATTTCATTCTAATGAATGAAACTCCGATCCTATTCATTGCCGCGGCTGCATCTTGCAGCCGCTTAGTAGATAACTCCCTAATTCCCACGGTATCAGGGAATTATCTACTAAAAGGCTGAAAGACCTAAATTGGTCTTTCAGCCAAATTTACTAATACTAAGTAAAGATTACTTAGTATTAGTAAATAATATGCCCCTACTCGCTATATCGCGAGTAGGGGCATGTGTAGTAAGCAGTAAGTAACCAATCAGAGTGTCCTCCCCCCCTGGCCCCCACCCCTGAGCGTTCTTTTGAATTTTCCCACGCTGTGTAAAATGACACAGAGCACTCTGATTGGCTTAAACCCACCAATCAGAGTGTTCTAAGCCTAATTGCAGGGCGGGGCAAGGCTTTATAAGCCTTGACCCGCCCTGCGGAGCTCAGTACGCGGCGTGCCCTCAAAGGGCGAACATGGATTAATTTTTTTTGCGCTCGTTTTTTTAAAGTGCCACGGGTATGATTGATTTCTATTTGGCCTTTTTGGGGGCTGAAGAAAGAAGATTTTAGAAAAAAGAAGACGTCAAATGGTAAGTTTAATTTTTTTTTACAGGTTAGTTATTTTATTCCCCCCTCACTATTTTTAGGGTGAGGGGGGGTAGGTAGGGGATAGGTTTTTTTTGGTTGGGGGGGGTGACTAGGGGCTTGGGACCCCTAGTCACCTTGATTGGGGGGGGTTTCATTTAGGGCCCCTACCCACCGCTCAGGGGTGGGGGCCGGGGGGGAGGACAGTAGGTACCCCCCCTTATTGTTTAATTAGGGCCCCCACCCACCGCGCAGGGGTGGGTGCCAGGGGGGGAGGACAGTAGGTCCCCCCCCTTAATGTTTTATAAGGGCCCCCACCCACCGCGCAGGGGTGGGGGCCAGGGGGGAGGACAGTAGGTGTCCCCCCTTATTGTTTTATAAGGGCCCCCACCCACCGTGCAGGGGTGGGGGCCAGGGGGGAGGACAGTAGGTCCCCCCTTATTGTTTTATAAGGGCCCCCACCCACTGCTCAGGGGTGGGGGCCGGGGGGGAGGACAGTAGGTCCCCCCCTCATTATCTTCATGGCCCCCACCCGCCGCTCAGGGTGGGGGAGGGGTGGAGGACAATAGGTCCGCCCCCCCTTATTGTAA